TCGTGACAAATTGTGAGCACAAGTTGAGCTCGAATGCCGAGCTCGAGCTCGGCTTGTAGTGGTCGCAGCCGGTTCGCGAGCTGACTCACAAGCTCGAATTAAGAATTTAATTTTTACATGAGCTCACCAGAGAAGGTATCGGTGGCATCGGCAGCTAACCTGAAAATGTATCGAAATGACTAAAGGTAGGCTGATTGAGCCGGCTTGTGATCCAATGAGCCTCGCCGGGACGAGCTCAAGCTCAAGCTCTTTTAATAAACAAGCTCAAGTTTGAGCTCATGGTTTGATAAGCTCGGCTCATGAGCTCGTTAACAAGCTCGCTCAGTTCATTTACACCCCTAGTTACAACCAACACGGTTGAAGGGAAAATAACAACAAAAATGACACTCACTGCAAGTAGGGCGGTATTTCAATGGTGGGTGGTCGAGTTGGTGATTTGGACGACAGGCCGATGGTTCGGGGGCAATGGCTGATTGTAGATTAAAGAGGGTGTTGGGAAGAGATGGGCTTGCGATTGGCTGCTAGTGGAAGGAGTGGTGGCAGTGGGGTGGGACAGGTGATTCACTGTTGTATTATTTCTTTACTGCTATATTACATAACAAATTTCTGTTACATGAACAAACAAATCTCTGTTGGAGCTTAAAAACCTGTTTATCGTAAGAATTTGTTGATTCACTGTTTGAATGATATGTTATTGTTGCCAGTTCATTGAACAAGCTTGTTTTAGCTTTTTTATTAAGTATGTCATCAACCGCATGAGATGGATGCTTGTTCATATTATTTTGAAAGATTATCATGGGACTGCAAGTTTTGAAGATTTTAAAGTGTCAGTCAGATACGTTTTTACAATTTTATTTTGGTTCTTAAATTTTGTTTCTGGTTTTTCCTTCCCTTGAAAAGACTAGATGTAGAATTGTTGCTTTGCAGCTGGTGTCTGCGGCTCCAAACAGCTTTCCCATAATTCTTTTATTTTCAGAGATATGCCCTGCTTTTGTATCGAAATCCTGGATTTTGGTGGCTTTTATTTTATTTTTCTTTCTTTTCCCTGGAAATATATAGTGCAGACAAAATCAGACCTGAAAAGGAGCTCGAGCGTGCTAAATCTGAAATCTTACGTTGTAAATTGAAGATTAGGGAGATATTTCAGCGCCTCGATTCTTTGCTTGCTGAAGGAAGGCTTCAGGAATCATTATTTGATTCTGATGGAATTGACAGTGAAGATGTAGGTGCCCCTAATGTTCACTATGTAAAGTGCCAAAATAGACCCATGTTTGTTTACATAGGGCCATTTTGGTCCCAAAGTAAAGAAATACCAAATTAGTCTCCAAATCTTTTTAATATGGGCTGAAATAGTCCCAGAGAGGACTATTATAGCCCCCATTAAAAGAGTTTGGTAATAAATTGACATTTTTATAGATCTGGGATTAAAATGACCATCTGCAAAAAGTCAGGGGAGGGTCATTTTAAAATTTTTCTCCTGACTTTGTTTGTTTATTCTTGTTAAACTTCATTAGTAAGTTGTGGAGAACTCATAATTCATATTTCTCCATAATTTGGTAGATATTCTGTGGTAAATGTGGTTCTAAGGACGTGTCTGCTGACAATGATATCATTCTTTGCGATGGCATTTGTGAACGTGGTTTTCATCAGACGTGTTTGAACCCTCCTCTGTTGAGTGAAGATAGTATAACCTAAGCCTCAAATATTTTTCTGATTTTTTAATCTTTTATGTTGTAGACTAATGTTCAACTTACTTTTATCTATTCGTGTTTTTCTTAGTTCCAACTGGAGATGAAGGATGGTTGTGCCCTGAATGTGATTGCAAAGTAGACTGCATTGATTTGCTTAGCGAGTTTCGAGGAATCGATCTATCAATTGAGGACTCATGGGAGGTAAGCTATATATTGTTCTCGATAATTCTTTTTTTTTAAAAAAGTGCCAAAATAGTTTCCTAACTGTTTGCATGGGACCATTCTAGTTACAGAATCTATAAATGCGCCGAATTAATCCTTTAAATTGGAGCTGAAATAGTCTTCTGTGGGTACTTATTTAGCCTTTATCAAAAGAGTCTCAAATTAAATTTATTTTTTTATAGACCGCGGGACTAAAATGTCCCAGTGCAAAAAGTCAGACTATTTTGACGTTTTTCTCTTTTACCGTAGGTCCAAAAACAAATTCTAATTTGTATTTGTGCAGAGGATTTTTCCTGAGGCGGCGGTTTTGGCAAATGGAAACGGACAGTATGACAATCTCAATCTTCCGTCAGATGACTCTGAAGATGATGATTATGACCCTAATGCTCAAAGAGTTGATGTAGATGAGCAAGTGGACGGATTGGATCATGAAGAATCAGATTCAAGTTCTTCGTCTTATGATTCTACATCTTCAGATGAAAATATGAACCAAGCTACCGTTGAATTACCCACAGATGATTCCGAAGATGATGAATTTGATCCTGATGCTCCAGATCCAGACAAAGAAGTACACAAGAGCAATCCCAGCTCTGATGAATCTGATTTTACATCCGATTCTGATGAATTTTGTGCGGAACTCAAGAAAACCGCACATGCTAAAGAGGCTTCGGCATCATCTCAATTGAATGTTAATATTTTGATTGATTCTGATATTGATGAAATGAATGATGACGATAAGCTAAATGACTGTTCTGAAATGCCTTCTGCCAAGCTTGAAATGGACGAAGAGGAAAGTGGTTTGAGGTTGTCGAATAAAAGGAGCCGTGAAAGATTAGATTACAAGAAGCTATATGATGTAAGGTTCTCTTCTTTTTGTGTACCATTATTTTCTTGGGGCATTTAAATACATATCACCCACTTCTTTGTACTTACATATTTAAAATCTAAAACTTAATTTTTACACTTATACCACCCGAATCTTTTATATCACATCGGAAATACCGCTGTTAACTTTTAAAAGGTGAAATAGGCTTTTTGATGCTTAGGTAGGGTGGTATATATGTGAAAAATGAAGTTAGGTATTAGATATGTAAATACATAAGAATTGAGTGGTACGTATGCAAATCATCCTATTTTCTTTGAATCTTTGTAGAAATGCAAGCAAAAGAATGACCTTTTTTTCGCTTCACGTGGCTACTTTTTATTGTAATAAAAAGGAGTGTATGTAGTGCATGAGGCTCTCTTCAATGTAGTGTGGCAGCTAATTGATATATGCAATTCTATTTTTTTATTTCAACGACTTTCTTCTTATTACTAAAATTGTGAATCTTTTTTACCAAACATTGTATACTGTGTACCTCATGTTTGTCAAAAATAAATTATTATCCCCCTTCCTGATTTCATGAAATTTTTACCCATACCCTTTCATTAAGATAGTGTTCATTGCAAGATGGTCCAGCTGATCTAAGCTGTAAATTTTTTAATTCATTGTCTCTTTCAAATATTCATGTTCTGTGTTTTTTTATATATCATAATGTCATGATCTTTGACTCTCTCTGCAATAACATTGGTTGTTTTTGCAAAATAAAAGTTTTAATTCTCTGCATCCACATCATTTTATGTTTCGTCTACTGCATAAAATTCCTGAAAATTTTGTTGCCATCATTCTATCAACTTCAGATTAAAAGTTGTATGATTTCTTTAATTCATAGGAAGATTATGGTAACCTACCCTCCGAATCTAGCGAAGATGAAGAATGGAATGGAAAGATTTCACCGAAGAAGTTGAAGAAAACTGATGATAAACAAATTGAGGAGGTGTTATGCAATTCTTTATCTTACAGAATAAAGAACCCAAAAATCTCCAGCATTGATATGGCAAGCTCTAGAAACTTCTATGACTATTTAATCTGACTTTGTTCAATCACAATTTCTCAGGTTGCCAAGGATAGTTCTGTAAAGACAACTCCAAAATCATGTAAAAAAAATTCTAATTCCTCCTCAGCTAAGGAAAATCATGGTCCTCAGGAACCTGATTCTGGTGGCTGTAATTCTTCTGCTGGTCTAAAAAAATCTGCAGTGGGTTCTAAGGTATTGACAGTTTGGCTTATATTTTGTTTTTTCTCTACCCAATTTTAATATATTTGCAACTCAATTTGTTGGAATTTTGGAATTCTTATAGAGTATATGTTATCTCCGAGGGAGTATTTTTCAGATTTAGTTTAATAAAAGGATTTTTTTCTGGCATGCTTGTTTAATTAATATAAGTATGCATCCGTGCCAAATAATCATAGTTTGATTAGTTTAATCATGTTTAGATTGTGGATGAAGAAAGTTGCGGTTGTATGACATATTAAGTTGGAGATGCTTGGATTTTTTTCTAAAATTTACAAGACTGGATGCAATATACAGATAATTACAACTCATGATTTGTTCTTGGGATGCTTTTAATTGGTGTTCACAGAAATGCCATGACATATTTTATTTGACAAATTTTTAATTAATATGTCAAACTAACGATTTATCAATTAAAGATAATAGTAAGAATGAAAATGAAAAAAACCTTAAGGAAAGAACTAAGCCTCACGTTGGTTCTTGGAGTCTCTCTCTCGGAAGTAGTTTTTTACACTAGTGTAGTATTTGAAGAACGCACGTTGACAATCACACACACACACATGAGAGGAAATTGAAATAGTATTTATGGATAATATTTTTCTTATATGTATCTATGGCCATATTTATTAATATCGAAGGACCTTAAATAAGAAACTGCACAAACTTGTGTGGTATTGTATGCATTTCAAAAAAGTGGCATTTATGTACATGCAGCACAATTCTTATGCATTTACATATCTAACAACTAAACTTTCATATTTATATGTGTGAGACTCAAATCTTTAAAATTGCATAAAAATGCCACTATTACTAACTTTTTAAAAGTGCAGTACACATTTATCATGCATAGGTTTTTGACATCAAAATGTTGAAACTGTAAATGTCAAACTTTAGCTGTTAGATACGTGAAGACATAAAAATTGTGTGGTATGTAAATTTCCCTTACAAAAAATAAAACAGTATGTAATGCACTGTGTTCAGGGTTTACTTGTAGATTGCGTGCATTTGAGGACAATCCAACATTACCCTTTTTTTCTTGTTTTCTGCATAAGAAATGCCATTTTGCATACTATTTTTTATTTATTTTTATTCATTTGTTAGTTGAAGTTTACAATTTTTTTTTTGGGTAGAAATTATATGAAGCCTTCCAGGAAAACCAGTACCCAACTAAGGAAAGCAGGGATAGTCTTGCTCAAGAACTCGGCTTGACATTCAAGCAGGTCGTAGTCCGATGCTCTTTCCACAATTGCATGTCATAACTTCTTGGGGCATTTGCATACCTACTGCAAAATTCTTTTGTATTTACATTATCTAACACCTAAACATTCATATTTACATTCAAATCACTCAAATCTTTAACATCACATCAGAAATATCACCATCATTACCTTTTTAAAATTGAAATACACCTTTTCATGCATACTTTTATAACACCAAGGTGTTATAAGTGTAAATATCAAATTTTGGGTGTTAGATAGGTAAATTTATATGAATTGTGTTATATATGTAAATTTCCCTAACTTCTAATGCTTTCAAAGAAAAGTGAACCTTCATAAATTGTGTAGGTTTCAAAGTGGTTCTTAAATGCACGGCATAATTCTCGTGTTTCGGCCAAGAAATCGAGCAATGTTGGGATGACAACTTTTGAAGTTCCTATTCGCCGTGATACTCTTTCAAACTCATCCAAGCCCAATGAAGGAGTCACTACCAAATCAACCATATTAGCCACGTCGCCCAATGCTACTCGCCTAAAGGTTTGAATTCATACTTCTCTTTAGGTGCATTTACATGCGTACCACTCAATTCCTAAGTATTTTACATATGCAATACCTAAACTTTATTTTTTTTACAATTAGACCATCAAAATCTTGCATATCACATAAAAAAAATACAATGATTATAACTTATAAAAAGTTAAATACATGTTTTCATGCAAAGGTAAGGTGATGTATATGTAATAATTGAAGTTTAGGTGTGAGATATGTGAATACATAGGTATTGGGCGGCTTGGATATAAATCTTCCATCTCTTTATAGTATGTCATTGTCTTCAAATTCTTAGGTGAGGATATTCTGAACACAGAAATGATGAATTTGTGACATAACTACAGTGACATGCTCAACAAGGAAAAAGAAATTAATTACTAATTCATTGCTGATATAAACTTCATTCTTATTCCAAATTACTAATGGAAGTACTAAAGTCAGGTTTAAGTTGTTTTACTCTCTTGCACAAATAAAAGGGATTTTTACTGTTAACTGCTGTAAATATTTACCCAATTATGCTATTTTTGAAATCCTAACTAATATATAAACCTAGCTAAATGATGTTAATATGAGAACATATTTATTTGTATAACACCTAATTCTTCATAATTCTCCATGTGCCATCTTATTTTTAAAATCTTTTACTAATATTACCCCCCCTAACTAAATGCTGTTAAAACGAAAGACTATTTCATAAACATAAAGGAATATTTTATTTCTTGATTTTGAAGTTTATAAATTTATGTAAAATCATAGAAAAAGTGCCAGTATATCTCACATCAAAATATATATGTCTTAATTCTTGAACAATGGTTCATTCTTCTTAATTTATGTAAAGTAATAATTAAAAAAATGTATTTTTGGCTATTAAAAAAATATACTTGAATCGCTTAGCTTTTAAATATGATCAAACTGAAATTCAGAAGTTTATTTGATTTGTAAGCCAATTCATTAAGCTTGATTTATTATTTCTTGTAAAGCTAAATGAAAATTTTTTATGATTTCTACAGAAATTTATTATTTTCTAAAATTAACCAATAAATTATTCTTCCACATTAATGAAATATATTATTTTATTCATATTAGCATCATTTAGCTATATTAATATATTCATAAGGGTTTAAAGGATAGAGTGAAATACCATTATTAAGAGTTTAGTGGCACTCCAATATATATAGGAAAGTTTATTGTGGCTTTATATGTTCCTTAACACAGAAATTAGATGAAGCCTTCCAAGAAAACCAATACCCAAGCAGGGAAAAGAGAGAAGAGCTGGCTCAAGAACTAGGCATCACAATCCAAAAGGTATTATTTACATTTTAACATATGCATGTAAATCATGAGTTTTGTTAGTTCAGCGTTTTGCTCCAAAGCTTGAATTAGGAGTGTAAATGAGTCGAGTCGAGCTCGAACCACCCTTGGCTTGAACTTGAGCTTGATTATTTGATTGAGTTCGAGCTCGAGCTCATACTTAATTCTACCTATTCGAGCTAGCTTATTTATTATGAAAGAGAGAAAGCAATATTACTTCAACTACTTTTATAATAAAATGACAAATAGAATGAAGTAATTAGGACATAAATAATAAAAAACACTTGATATAAAATATAAAATATTTTATTTTAAATTTTGATAATTCAAAGATAAAATCTTCGATTTTAAAATATTTTGGGTATATTTTACATTAATATTGATTACACATCGGCTCACAAGCTAACAAGTAGAGTCATGGTTGGCTTGAGCGTGTCTTATTTGCTTATCAGGCTCAGCTCACAAGCCACTTTTCGAACGGAGCCCGAGCTGGCTCACAAGTTAGCATGACTCACGTACATCCCTAGCATAAACAACTGCAAGCTAACAAACGCATCGATCCATCTTGACTTCAGCAAATCAACTTGGTCAACCAAGGCTCTACGAATAATCATTATCGACCATAGATTCCTCCAAGTTAGCATTGCCACACAATATATGCTCACCACTATTGATGCTCATATGTTTCCATTTTTTAGGTGACTCGATGGTTTGAACATGCACGACGTCGCTCTCGTGCTTCTATTAAGAAATCCCACAATCCTGCAACCTGGAGCCCAGATAAACCCGAAGCCTCCTGCAGCACTCCCAACAGCCAAAAACTCAACATACTTGAGGAAGACAAGACAACCGAACCAACTACGCCAAATAAAGCTATCGTCTTAACCACAACTTCGACGAGCTATGCGAAGCCGAACGACAATGGAGTATCTGCTCGAAACGAATTTAATACTACCCCAAAAAGCAGTCTGAGTCCTCAGAAGCTTTATTCGCCGATTGCGAACGGAGCTGCTTCGAGTGAGAAAGGAACAAACTCAGTTAATGACCGGCGGAAAGCCATAGCTAAAGAACTGAGGAGGATGAGGAAAGCTAGATAGTTCTCCCCAGAAGATAGTGGGATTGCCATGTGACTATGGTCAGTATTGCAAATTTGTTGCCTTTTGGCTTGTTTTTTGGTCCATCTTATGAGCCTTTCCTGATATATTTTGTTTTGACCTGTTACTGGAAGTTCTCATCTTGTAAGCAGAAGAATTTGACATCTAAAGTTCTTTTTTTTTTTTTACTTTTAAATTTCTTATATATTATTCTTTAGTTGTTTGCTGAAGTATATCATCCCCAAATCTTGAGCTTATACTGCTTGAAGAGAGGTACATGAGGTTTTCATTCTAGGATGGGATGATGAATGTGGATTCTTTTTGTGTTGTTAAGTGTGTTCTTATAATTTGATTTGAGAAAAAAAAATTGGGGGGTTTACATGCAGACCACACAATTCTTATGTATTCTTACACCCAACCATTCATATTTACAGGCATATCACTCAATCTTTAACCTCTCATTAGAATGCCATAGTCAGTACCTTTTAAAAAGTGAAATACAGTTTTCTATGCATAGTTTTATGGCACTAAGATGTTGTAAGTGTAAATATCAAACTTTAGGTGTTGGATATGCAAGTATATAAGAATTATGTATGTAATTCTATAGATTTCATGATTTTGTCCTGGTTGTTTTGAGATTAGTATGATATGATTTATGATCCATTCATGTATTATATTTATCTGAAAAATAAAATGTAGGAGCTTTAATCTACATGATGCATAGATGTATTAAGGATATTGACCCCTTTTTTAAATTTGTGACCATTCCATTATCTTTTTTTCAAGTATATTATTATTGTTTTATTAAATAATGAGTGCAAATTATGCAACACATCTATTCATTCATATGCACATTGCTTAATATATTTGAGATCTTAGTAGGATTCTTCTAAATAAAATGAAGTGTAAATTTATCAGGTTTATTTGAGGATTTAAGGTTTAAGATTTTCTCATAAGGAATATTTTGGTTTATTAGTCTTGTCACCAATTTTTTGTCATTAGGATAGTTTAGAGCTTTCTTGGATGTTGACTTGCTCAACTAAATGTGAGATGCATTTTAATATGTGGTCTACAATTAAATCTATTAAATTATAGTTTTTTTTTTTCTAAATTGTTTATAAATATATTATTCTATGATGGATTATAATTATTTATGTTTTATATAATTTTTTTTTAATTTGCTTATTTATAACCATTGCATAAAATGGATTAAGGAAATCAAATGGAGATGCATTTTAATATAAGCTTAATTTTGAGGCTCTTTCATGGGTAAATTTGCCAAATCACTATAGGGAGAGAATATTTGTAAAGATTATTTGGTTTTAAGATCATTCTACCAATCATAATTGGCTTGTCAAGATTTTATAGTTTATGAAAGATTTAAATTTTATAATATTTTCCATTTCTTTTTCTTTTCTTTTTTTTTTTTTGCTTTGCATTAGGACAAAGTATCAAATTATGTAATAGTAATTCAATTGCTATTAAGGCTTTTTAAACTTGGCTAACCTTGGGAAAAGCCTAAAGTATATCCCAATTTTGTGCTTTGAAGGCATTGAATCAAAATACTTTTTGTTTGTGTGAATTTTGTATGAAAAAGTTAGATGGTGGCTCTATTTTTTTGGGTGAGGTATGGTGGATCTCTCAAGACTTCGATGTGTTTTTAGTTATCTTTTCACTCTTATACTCGCTCCCAACACAATTCTCTTTTTGGTTCTAATTAGGCTTAACCAAATCTTAGATCATTGCCTCCTTTAATTCCTTAAAACTTTTTTTCATGTTCTCCAATAAAGCTTGTGACTTTCTATGGCCTCAATTCTCTAGTAATCCAAAAAATATTCTAACCAAAGGCTCAGTGTAGAGAGACAATTTTCCAATATTTCAAACATTTGATTGGAAATGTTTCACCCTTTTTAATTCAAGAAGATTTTTTCCCTTTCAAAATTTAAAAGATTCTAAACTAATTCAAAATATTATATGCTATTATTTTCGCTACCCACACAATCCTTTCACCATCACCTAAAGGGTACATTAATCAAATAGTTGGTATTGTCATTAAGATGTTATAGTACTTGCACCATATTCACCATATTCAACCTTTATCGTAGCTTTTTTTTCTCTTTACTTGCCCTTACTTTAAGCTTGACTGACCTTTGATTCTCCTCCCTCAATTTGGATCAAGGTAATAACAACAAATTAAAGATGATGATAATTCAAATGGCCAAGAACCATAACTTGATGTGGTTTAATAAAATAAGATGCAGTAAAAAGCTATTGGAGTTGCACAACAACCTTCAATTCATATTGAAGACAAAACTATTGAATCTCTTCTCCCAAACCATCCCCTGATAAACACATATGTGGACCAACTCTTTTAATCTTATTAAGTCTGGCTAATTTTCAAGGGAGTCATAAAAAAAAGGTGGAATATAGCTAAAAAAATATTAGAAGATAAAAAAAATTTAAAAAAAATAAAGATGAAGATGTGGTCAGTGAAGAGAGAAATGTTGTACATATAGAGAGAATTTCATATGGAATACAACACCACTTTTTCAAGGTGGGTCAAAGTTAAGTTTTTAATTTATATGGAAAAATTAACATAGTAACATTAATGATCGGTTCTAGTTGCTAGCAACTTTCTTTTTTTATATCTGAAGAATATCCAATATATAAAAAACATATATTGCTCAATTCAAACTTAATTTTATATATTTATATGGTGAAACTCTTATTTAAAGAAAAATATATAATAAAATTGAGTTCGCTCAAACTTAAAAAAACCCTTAGAAAGTCAATTCTATGTAATTATACATGAAGAAAAATTTTGAGTATGATGACAATGGATAAAATAATAGTATCAACATACGTATGGTTATAACATAGAGTTTCAAAAGGCATACTATTGTCTTAGAAATTTTTCTAATACACTATCTTTATGTATCATGCATGCCTTCATTAAGTAAAACATTAGGAACTCCGAGCCCTTCTAGTGCTTTGCATTGGTGATGCCATTTTGAAAGCCATAGTTATCAAGGAATGAAGCCTCCACCAAGCAAAGGAAGTTATAGAAAATTCACGAAGTGAGGGCACCAATAAGGAGAAGATGGAAGCAAGAATGCTAATCGTAAGCGCTCCCACTACAAGAAATTGAAGTATATATAAAAGGATTGTTATAAGGTTTTCTCAAATCTCTAGCTAAATAATATCGAGTATTAATATATTTAATAAAATTATTCTACACAAGATTATAAAAAATTAGCTCACCAAATTTTATTATTTATTGGTCCTTCGAAAGAGAAAATGCCCAAGCTAAAGTGCCAAAAAAAATTTTAATGTTAAAATATAAGTAAAAATATGGCATCAAGTATTCTTCACCCAAGAATTTAGATAAAAATGTTGTGCCTCTTAACAACATCAAATACTAAGGTATATTCTCACATCTAAATTCATAATGATGTTGAGATGCAAATCACCAAACTATTTATCTTTGTGTTTGCATTAGGAACTGGTATTAAATTAATTGAATAACAACATTGAGCCCCGACTGTCCATCATGCACTCATTTGAATTTTATATTTTTGAGATTGAAATTTTTTCGATAATAAAAGCAAAAAAAACATTATGAAAAAAAATTTGTTAGTCAGTCAAGTAACAATCTTCTATTAGATTATTTCTTTGTAATACCAATTAAGAGGATTTGAAGCATTGCAAAAGTTTTACATTAGTGATGTCAGTAAAAGGGAAAGTACATTACAAAGATCAACATCTACCTTCTTATCATAAGTAAAAAGAGAAAAATGACAACTCATTCGATTAATAAAATTTGGCAACTTTCTTTCATCAACTCCCATTCATGACAATGGATAGTTAATGATAAAATATAAATGCTACTAAGTAGCAATGTAATAAAGAATTTCTCTCTACTTGATATTCTAAGGACAAAATTGTCGAAGGATTTTTATATAAACTACACCATGTTGAGACCATTTGGTTGATTTGCCTCCTAATATATGTGCTTATTTATTGGTTATCATAAGTGTGGTCCTAATTATAGATGTACAATGCTACTAAATCTATGAAAAAATCATGGAATATAATACACTTATTATTATTTAAAAAGTCAAAATATCAACCAATATAATTTATATGTTGATTCCCTAAACTATCAAATCAAGGAAACACTAACATATCATTAAAGTTGAATAAAAGAAATAATAAAAAAATTTTAAGGAGATGAACAAATTAGTGAACGAACCGAACACGAACTGTTTGTTCGTTCACAAATAAAAGTTTTGACACCCCTAGTTATGCCAAGCTTTAAGTATAGAGCAATGAGAGTGAGAAAGAGGAGTTGGCCATCTAGAGCCACTTTAGGCTGATTATTGAGATTGAATATGATCGGAAGTAGCTTTGTCATAAGGCCAAGGTAGGCCATTAAAGATGGAGCAATTAAAAATTTTTCGAGAAACAAAGATAAGAATAAACGAGTCTTGATTATATTTCATTTAAAATTTGAATGTTTTGCAATGTACATTTTGCCAATTACAAATTAATAACACCAATTATGAATTTAGCAATGCTTGAAAACTTTGTCACAATTAAATAATAATGTTGAAGTTGACATAGTCCTCACACACAAATAAATAAAAAATATTTCAAGCAGATCTCGACCCAACTCCATCTGACTCGTGTATAGCTCAAAACAGGCTCGAAAAAAAATCACATCTAAAGTTTTGGCTCATAGTTCTGCTCAATTCTATCACTCTGATCTTAATTCAAGCTAAAGTTTAAATTATTTTCGAGCGATTATCGATCTTCGAGCTAAGTTCAAATCCACAGTAGGGCATGAGCTCATCTTAAATAAACAACAATAAAAATTATATCTTTTTTTTTTTTGCCATAAAAGTAATATGTAAATAATAAATTAAAATATTCCATTCATCAAACTGCCATATTCTCCTTCCCACAAAAATTTGGCTTCCGCCCTCCTTACTTCCACCAAATCTCCCCAAATTCCAAATCCTCGCGCCCCAACCACAAATTCAATCTCAGTCGAACGAATTCGTTATCCAACTCGTTACAAACCGTCCATTATCTCCACGTGTTCTCATCACCTCCCCTCCTATTTTTCCATTCTGCCCGCTGCCCGATTTCAAACCTCAAATTCTCGAACCGGATTCAAATAAAAAAACCGAACCAAATCCTAAACCGCGCGCGGCCTTTTTTTTTATTTTCTCTTTTCTTTTTCCCTCTCATTTCGAACTCTCCGCTCATTCAAAAAAAAACCAGAAATTTCTCTACAAAGCTCAATGCCCCTCTTCTCCCCCGAACATTCACCTCTCTCTCTCTCTCTACAGCTTCCTCATTTTCTCTCTGTAGAATCAAAAGCAGAGGTGCAATGGCGGATAAGGAGAACTGCTCCCGCCTCACTCGCGCTGCTGCGAAGAGGGCAAACGCTTCGGTCGCCGCCGCCGAGCGGCGGCCAGCGAAGAGGAAAAGGGTGGCTCTTGCCGAACTTCCGAAACTCTCGAATGCTTTATCAGATTCATCTTCACCTAATCTCGTTATCTCGAAATCAAAGTTGAAATCAAAGAAGGGTGGCAAAGCGGGCGACGTAAACGTGGGGAGAGATGAATCGGATGATCCTCAGTTATGCCCTAATTACGCTTTGGATATCTATCGCTATCTTCGATCCATGGAGGTGGGTTTCTGATTCTAGGTTTTTGATGAATTTGAAGTGGGTTTTGAATTGGGGATTATATGTAGGTTGAGGCAAAGAGGAGACCAATGGCGGGGTATATTGAGCGAAGTCAGACGGATGTGAACCCTAATATGAGAGGAATTTTGGTTGATTGGTTGGTGGAAGTTGCAGAGGAGTATAAATTGGTTTCGGATACTTTGTATCTCACTGTTTCATACATTGATCGGTATCTATCATTTAATTCTGTTAGCAGGCAGAAGCTTCAGCTTATTGGGGTTTCAGCCATGCTCATTGCCTCGTGAGTTTCAATCTCTCCTTTTTTTTTTAGTTGTAATGTGGTTTTGATCTGGTTTTTTTATATTCTCTTTTATGTGTTACAGAAAGTATGAAGAAATTAGTCCTCCACATGTTGAGGATTTTTGCTATATAACAGATAATACATACACCAAGAGACAGGTTGGTTTTCTCTGTAAATTACCTTTTTTTTCAATTTTTTTTTAAGTTTCAGTTGTTCAATCTGACAGTTTTGGATGAATTTTTTTATGTTATTGATTAGGTTGTTGAGATGGAAAGCGATATTCTTAAATTTCTCAACTTTGAAATGGGCAATCCTACTGTCAAAACTTTTCTGAGGTAAGGACTTGCTCAAATTTTTATAAGATCAAGGATTTCATTTTTTTTTCTTTTCAAGTGCTCTTTGATCTGATTGAAGCTAAATTTCTTTTGTTGAAGGAGATTCTTGAAGGCCGGCCATGAAGATGGCGAAGTAAGCTTTTAGTCAAATTTATGGCAATTTACATAATTACCGCACAATTCTTATATATTTACAAATTTAACTCCCCAAGTTTTTATATTTATGCTTATAACACTCATCATAATTTTTTGCATGAAAAGTTGCATTTCAATTTTAAAAGGATAGTGATGGTGGTATTTTTGATGCTTTGTTAAAGATTTGAGTGGCATGGATGTAAGTATGAATGTTTAGGTGTTAGGTATGTAACACTTATGTGTCATAAACTTTTGATTCTAAATTTGCATTTCACTTTTCCCAAATAAAGAAAAAATATTACCTCAGGAGTACTGATGCATCAGTACTCCAATGAGGGGGTGCCACGTAAGCAATGGTCCCACCGTGGTGCCTACGTGGCACCCCCTCATTGGAGTACTGATGCATCAGTACTCCTGAGGTAATATTTTTTCTTTAAAAAGACAGTGAATCAGTGATGGCACCATTTTTTATTTGATGTTAAAAAATTGAGTTTTATGGATGTAAATATAAATGTTTAGGTGTTACACATGTAAACACATAAGAATAGTGTCGTATGAATGTAAATGTCTCAATTATGTATTACAATTCTAATGTTCTATACTAACTTCTAACTATACTTGACCTTTTAACACTTATGTGTCAAACTTTTCATGAAAATATGCATTTTTCTTTTAAAAAGGTATCGATAGTGGCATTTTTTGATGTGATGTTAAAGATTTGAGTGTTATAGATATTAATATGAATGTTTCGGAGTTATGCATGTAAATACATAAGAATTGTGGAATGAATGTAAATGTCTCAATTATGAATTAGAAATCTTATGTTCTATACTAAAGTTTAACATGAACTTCACCTTATTTATACAGTATCCAAGCCTTTTGTTAGAGTTCATGGGATCATATCTTGGAGAGTTAAGCTTACTAGATTACAAATGTGTTCAATTTCTTCCATCAGTTGTGGCTGCTTCAGCTGTTTTTGTTGCAAGATTCACCATCAGCCAGGAAAATCCTCCATGGGTAAATTCATTGAAGCTGTAAAATATATATTTGCATATCTTTTGCAACTATGTTAATTATGCTTTTTAAAAAAAAAAATTGCAGAGCAAAAAGTTGCGACAGTGTACCGGTTATAAGGTGTCAGAGTTGAAGGAATGCATCCATTTAATCCATGATTTGCAGATGAACAGAAGAGGATCTAATTTAGTGGCTGTCAGAGAAAAATACAAACAGCATCGAGTAAGACACTGTATTTGTGCAAAATTGATTCCTTTGATATGTGTTTATTACCTTATTATATATAAAAAGGGGGACTTTTACATAAATATCACCAAATTCTTATATATTACATATCCACATCTAAAGTTTGTTTTTTTCTTATTTACACTACCCAAATCATTCATTCACGTTAAAAGTTATAGGTCTGCGAGAGGCTATTAGATGGGTCTAAGGCTGCATATATGTAAAAACTTTAAGTTTGTGTCAGATATTCAAATGCACAGGAATTGAGTGGTATGCATGTATGTAAATCTTCCATGGAAAAAAAAGTCTAATTTTGCTTTATTTTGTGCATTGAAACAGTTCAAATTTGTGTCTTCCATGGTTCCTCCTCCTGTAATACCTGCAACATTTCTAGAGGATTTTGGAGCGCAAGTTTTGTGAGAACTTTGGCTGTACAGCGGTGAAAACCTTGGTGAAGGTACCTCTTTTGGTATATTCATGGAGTTTTGGATCTCTGCTCTGCAAAACTCATCATGAGGCCTTTTGATTCAGCCGGGGTTTGAGTTGTAATTTGAAATATCACCAACTTGAAAGTGGATATAATTTGGATATTTGTTTAGTTTGAAGTTGGTAGAGAAATTTTGTAGACTTGTTTCAGAAACAGGAAATTATTTTAGAATTCAGAAAGTTAAAGTTCTGCAATTTTATATGTTAGGGGTTCAATTCTGTCAATAAAGTTCAATTTTACTTTTCGTTTTCAGATGAAAAGAGTGATTTTGCATTGTTTATATCTACCACCTAAAGTTTGGTATTTGCATATATAGCCCTACTGCATTAAAAACCATATAAGTTCTTACCATATAGCCCTTAAAAGCGTGTTAGTTTTGGAATTTCCTTGCACATAAGTTGTAAGACAACACTTTTAGAGGAGGTTGCAAGCTATGGGATGAAGCTGAAGAATTCTTAATTACGATCGTTCGAGTCCGACCATCTTCTTGAGTTTTTGATAGTTTCTTCATTTTGCATGTGATTACATGACTTTTTTCATCATAGGATTCATTATATATTTATATATCTAACATTCAAATGTTGATATTTGTATGCATGACATTAAATTTTCAATATGATATACCTTCTATTAAAGAAAAAATACAAAAAATATTACATAAATTTTAAAAAAAGTTTGCATTGGGATCCTAAAAATTAAATTTAATTTTAACGAATTAAATTTTAAGAAAGTCAAAATTAGAACTATAAGGATATAATTTTCATAAATATATTAGCTTAATATGAAAAATATGATTGTAATATTTTTAAATCTTATTTTCTCTCAAACAAAAGGTAAAAGGCCAGCAAGATTTCTAAGCACGCATAGGCCCAGTCTTCGGGCTGTGACTAAAAATCAATTTGCATTTTCACTCGGATTGAAATAAATAAGACTAGCTGTGAGCCAAAATTTTAAAACGAATTAGCTTGAACTAACTCGAGATTGACTCGTAGTAATTTTTATTTATTAAAATTACATATACAATACTAAGTAAAATTGAATATAATAAATCACGTGCCATTTTTGAGCAGGAAGAAAACTAAATCACCCAATTGAGTTAGTTTGTTTCAATTTTGAATAAAATTGAGCAAATTCTGAGCTTAGACCATTCCAAATAACTTAATTTGAGCCATCTTGTTTCAATTTTAGGTCGATCGAGCTCAAATCAATTTCTACAACTTAGCTCAATATGGAATATAATGAGCCACAAACATATTTTGAGCCACACTAAATCTACTTGAAGCCGATTTCAAGCTAATCCCAACTCAGCTTGAAATCGAATCGTTAACATCTCTAATCTCATTTGTCGATTACATTTGGGGCATATCTTATATATTTCAACATTTAAGACCTAAATTAATTTATTTTTACATTTAAACCACAAATCTTTCATATCACATGAAAAAACATCACTATTTTAACTTTCAAAAAGTAAATTATATTTTTATGTGTAAAAATTTAATTTAGATGCCAATATGTGAATTCATAAGAATTAAGTGATGAATGTAAATCTTCATTTATAAGAATAACACAATTGATTTTAAATATAAACCAAATTTAATACAAAATAATAAACTATTTAACAATGTGTAAACCTTATTTTTGCCCCTAATAAATGAAATCCAAAATCACTACTTTTAAATCTTGTGCATATCTTAACCCAATAATGTGTAAATAAAATTAAAACTTCACAAAACTGAACTCATGACATTCTTGACACCCGGAGGGCCGAGTCTTATCATGCAACTTTAACTAAATGTTGTCAACTGAAATCATTAAAGAACATATGTTGCACATTAAAGTAGATCAATTAATATTCTAAATTTCCTCTTAAGCCAAACCGAGCATTCGGCTCGGCATGTTCCTTCTCGGAGCGCGGGCAAGGTTCTAACTAGGCGTTCATCTCAACCCTTGTCACACATTCCATCATAAGGAACGAGTGCTTCCACGATCATGACCGCTAAATCTAAATGATGATGAGATTGAAGTAACCTCACTTGAATTGGCATACTAAAATACATAAAAGTCCTACTCTATTTGCTTTTATGAAAATCAATATGCTCTTACGATGAACATCAAGGACTTCAACATTCAAGCACTCGAACATGCAAAATATTATTTAAGACATGATACATGTGAGCCTCCATCAATGTCATAATCACACTAACATGCACTTTCAACTGCATTATGCCAAAACCAACATGTATGTTGCATTATTTCTCATGTACAAATAGCTTTGTATAAGGACACATGGGGACTAATGGGGACTAAAAAAAAAAAAAATTGAATCAAGATCTGAGTGATCATTGCACAGCCCCAAATATATTGACAACAAAAATAGTATCTACTAACATATCCCTATCATGACTGAGATTATTGGAGAAGAAAAAGAGAGATTTTGCAGCATGCTAAGTTATCACAATTATAAAAAGCAAGAATTGTAACACCAAAGTCTACTGTATTTCGATCATACAAGATTATATTAGAGAGACAAAGAGCACAATAGATTAAGGAGCTGTTTGGTTTGAAGTAATGGCATGTAAAGTAATTTAAATACCTGTATTTTCAGTTTTATGTGTTTGGTGGAAGGAAAAAAGAAATGAAAAGTAAAATTTTCTCCTATTTGGATTACGCTGGATGGTGCATTTTGGCTGGATTTCAATTTTGCATGAATCGAACATAAAGGAATCCGCGGGTTCTCCTTCGCATTCACGCGGTCCTACTTCTAACAATGCGAGTTCTGCTTCTCATTCACCATAAACAACATAAGAAAACATCTAGATTTACAAGGCTCGACCAAAGCAAACTTGTATCCACAAGAGAAGAGAGATGATATGAAGTGATGGAGGAACCAAATACTGTAAATATTACACGAATCATAAAAATATTTAGAGAGATTTTCATGCCTAGCACCAAATTTCAAAGCATATCAACCACCTAAACTTCAATTTTTACCTATAGCCACCCAACACCATAAAAATTGAAGTTTGGGTGATTGACATATAAATACATAAGAATTTATAAATGCCCCAAACATTTAATAAGTAAATGATTTGTGAAGTGATGAATTTAAGAGAAAATAAAGTAAATTACATCGAAGCAACAAGTCCATAAGCTGTTGTTGAATCATCATGCAAGAAGGTAAATATGTGAATGCTCAAAACAATTAGAACGGCAAGACAGCATGCATTAGAATTTCACATATTTACATACATACCACTCAATGCTTATCCTTATCACAATTCTAACTAATAAATTATAATAAATAAATCAAATTTTGGTTGTAATTAATAATAGGCTAAGATTAGGGGCATTTGCATACATGCCACCCAATTCTTATCAATGTACATAGATAACACATAAATTTTATCGTTTACATTTATACCACCCAAATCTTTCAAATCACATCAAAAGTGCCAATATTTCAACTTTTTAAACGTTGAATACACATTTTCATAAATAGGTATTTTTGCAAGCATAAAATTTGAATTTTAGGCGTTAGATATGTAAATACATAAAAATTGAGTGGCACGTAGGTAAATCTTCCTTTTTCTTAACCAATTGTTAGATTGAACTGACATCCTGTCAGAATGCTAACAATATTTTGAAATGCTATCAGTAGAGCTGTAGCAGGGCTTATATTAATAATAAAAACATAAAGCATAAACTCCACCTGCAGAAATATCAACAAGAAGAAAAAATAATAATGATGTTTCACATAGTTTCATCATTGAAGAGAAAATAAATACTAATATTAGGTGATAAAGCATACATAAACACATTAGATCATTGTTAACTGATGATATAATAAGGCCTTAGAGCTTTGACTGACAAATACATAATTCATAAATCATATGTAAAGGATAAATAAATAGAAATCAATTGATACTTCAATTTTAGCCCGCTAGAATCAGGGTTAAACCGACGACCGATGAATCGATCCTGTTTTAAACATCAGTTGGTTCTAATATTGTCCAATTTTAGGTTTTTAATTTTGACTGGATGACTTTAAAAGAAGAAATTTAATTAAAAATGAAGAAAATGTCCTATCTCAACAATTCGATTTAAAATATTATTCAGAATATTTAAAAGTGAAAGTGTCTTATTAAAATATTATTCATTAAAATGATGAAAATAATATTATTGCATCATTATTATTCTTTAAATTATATTAAAATAATTTTAATAATTAATCAAATTCAATAATAGTGGATAGAATAAAGGAGAATTATAACTCCTAAGCCAATCCTCAAAATACAATGTCAACCTAAAGACTGTTGTAGATATATACACCTTAGATCCAGGGCACTAGTAATAAAGTAGCCCTCAGCCTCTGGTCATTTAGTCCTTATTAGTCTAATGGCAATTTAGTTCTTATTAGTCTTAGGGCAATTTAGTCATTTGTCATTTATTATTGTTTACTATAAATATAGTTAATAGGTTTAGGGTTAAGATTATGCGTGAGATTGATGTCTTGGGCTTAGGATTAATATTTGGGAGAGACTTCCTGTCTCTCGAATAGTAGAATTTGGGATAGATCGCCTGCCTTTTGATTTGTAGCTACTTGTATTATGAATTTGCGTTGAATTGTATGATGTTCCACAAATAAATTTATTATTTGCCAAAATTTATGTGGAGTTTCTTATCACATTATAAGCTCATGAGCTCACAACAAATCTTCCCAACCTCAACTGACCTGAAAATCATGCACTTGCCTTTTACCAATAGCACATCAGCCCTTTTGAACCTTTAGAAAAAGGTATTCTGGCTTAGAGACAAACCTAGTTGTAGATGGGAAAGAGCACTCAAAGAGAAACTAAGGATTTACTTGGGACTACTTTCTCTCTTATTTCCATTTCAAACAATCACTACAATTTTGTTTGGAGAATTTTTTTTTTTTTTTTACTTTCTACAAATTTTAGTGGTGAAAATTTATTTTCTACAACCAAATCAGTTAAAATATAATGATCGTAAAAAAGTTGTTGTTTAACTTTTTGAAAAAGATAAATATTTATAATTTCCTTTGTTCGGTCGTATTTGTCTCGTTTTAGCTTGAAATAAAGAAATTATATATTTTTTAATATAATAATATATTATCTAATTTATTTATACAATAATATATTTTATATATTTATATCTAAGTTTAAATCATAACTCGTGTGGTC